ACAAATAGTCGGAAACCAATTTGGAAATGGAGAGGGTGGGTGTGTCTGGTGGAGACGCACGAATGACTTACAGCGGCCACTCGGATGGGGCGGCGATGGACCAAATCCTTTGGTTTCGTTCGAGCTGGTGAACTGCTGAGTGCTGTAGCTTTTCGTTGTTGTAGCAAGCCCTATGTTGACAGAGTTGTCATGCATGGCAAAACATTGCAAGACATAGATGTAAATCAGACAAACTTGGCAGCTCATTTTCTCGGTGTCAGGTTTCGGAAGCACATTTTCCCACAGTGCCAGTAACCCCTCCATCCACACCTAGCCACAAAGGCCATGAGAAAACACAGCGCCACCCGGTGTCGGACCGAGAAAAATGGTCTTAATTGTCAGTTACACGCACCCCCACGCACCGCAGCGCCAAACAGTGGCTGCTGCTGCTCCCTTCCGTCCCCCGAACTCGATCGATCGCCGCCGCCGACCGCAACAGACCCTCGAGACCGGCCCGGCTCCTCTCGGACGGCGGCACCACGCCGGGCGCTCTCTCATTAGTCAGGGCGACACGGGACATGAACAGCTTCGTCAGCCGCCGGGCCGAGACGAGACGGGACGCGGGGCGCCCGCCGCCGCCGCCGCCGCGGTCCCCGACAGGTAAACAGACTGACACGGCCGCCGACAGACCGAGCGCCATTTATTGATGATTGGACGCATCAGGCTCAAACAAAATAAACGCTGACGAATGCCAGACTGGGAGGGGCGAACGGGGAGCTGACGGGGCGGATCGGATACCGCCGGTGGAAACGGGGCAGGAAATACCCCACCGGTCGTGGGGAAGCGAGATTCTGACGTTCTGTTGTGATTACAGAGCTGATGGAATCTGATTAGGCTGTAACGTCCCCAATGTGGCTACTGGCTACATCGTGTCACCCGTAGTTCCACTCAAGAAAATTCTGCAAAAGAAGGTGTCGCTGCTATAGTGTCCAGTTCACCATTGGACGACATTGGACATTGGACAATGGACACTCGGGACAGTCTCTCAAAATCCCTATCCGCCGGCGTCCCTTCTCCCCTCACAGCCAAGATTCCTTTACTACTCACAGCCATCCAGACGGACACACGGCGCGGACATCGCCCAGATTTTATCCGAGCTGTACAGTGACCAGATGTCCGCCTCTTTTTCCTGCATTTACGACTTATTCGTTACTTAACCCGACCCTTCAGGATGGCTCGCCAAAAGCTCACCGGGCTTTTTTACACCAGAAACGGACGTCCGTTTTATTACACACCTCGCGTTGGTAATAGGCGAACGGTACGAAAAAGCCACCATAAAGTCCCCGCGGGCCGGTCGTTTTTGTCATATGACATCGTATTGGGATGGTCTGGCCACACCTCGTCGTCCGGTTAGTGTTGGAAGGGTCCCACAGAGCTGGCCCGGTCGGGCCGGGGCGGGTTTACGAGTGGTCTCGTTAGATCAGGCGCCGGGTCGCCAGGTATGTGCCGGCGGAGGCGGCGCCGGGGACGAGCGGCGCAGTCACTTCCTCCGTCGGCCCGATGGCTTGTTTACACTGCTTTGGCTGCAGCGGGAAACGTTTAATCCTTATCTTAAATAGCAGAGGTTTAAGGTACATGACAAGCCAGCGTGAACACATCCTGTCGCTGAAACTGCACTTATTTCGGCCGAACGGCTTCAATAAAGTCGCTTTAGCGCGCACTTAGGATGCTTTTATTGTTTTAATACGACTGGAGAACAAGTTTGCTGTGAAATGATAAGACCGCTGGGACGACGACGCCGTTAAAGTGAGCTCAGCACCATCTGGGGGCGCCAGTCGGACTCGGCGACCCGTGGCGCCGCACGTGCCACGTGCCACCTGAAACGTGGCACACTTGCATGACCGGCATTCGGCAGCGGCACTGCAGGCCTCGAATCCACGTGCCATTATCTATCAGTTTCGTTTCTCGGCTTCATTTTCTCTCTCAGTGTGATTCATTCCTTTGAGCCCAGCATTCCTCTGGGCTCGGAATTCCGTGTTACACAGTGGTGAGCGATAGGTGGGTGACCGCAGGGCAATCACTGCGGCCACGGACGCACAGGCGCACCCCACACTCACTCCACACTCTCGCACACTCCACAGGTGGGCGCTGTGCGTAGCGATCATGTCGGGCTGCCGCCAGGAGTGCGCTACAGCATTTCAGACCGGCCTAATTGCGGTGTCTGCTCGGTGGCCAAAAATTCAGCGAGACATGAGACCTCACTGCGCATTGTCACGCGATCACCGGCAGTGCAATGTACATCCAGCCTGCTCATGATTGGAGGCAAAGTGGCGAATACAGCCGTTACAGTGCTTTGTAACATGGACATTGATCAGTGCTCGTGCCGCCTACTGAAGTTTGAGCTTGGCTTGGCATCGTGACGCAACGTATGAAGTTATCCGATGCTAATAACCATCCGTCGTTATGTCAGGAAAGTGTTCCGTGTGTTCTATTTTAGCTGGATCTTGATCAGTGTTTGCTTAGCGTTGTTCACTTTCAAATCGAACCCAGAATACCAACGTGACGTAAATGGAATGCAATTTACATAATCAAAAATGATAAACATCCAACATTACGTCATACAAAATGAAAGTCTTATGCGGTCTATTTGTAATGCGCCTGCCGGCTGCATCTCATCAAACGGGCACAATATTACGGAAACTTTCAGTCTTCAGCAACGGATAACTAACAGCCGTGATAATCATGCTTGCGCATCTCCTCGAATTGGACGGACAGTGTCGTCGGTCGTTCACTCTCGTCACCTGTCGGTTGTGTCGGTTGTCTGTCGTGTCAGTGCTCAGTCGTCTGCCCGGTATAACTGGTGAAACTGCGGTGTGTAGCCCGCCTGGTCCAGTCCGCGTCCATACATTTCCGCTTCCCTAACGAGCCGACAGCCATTGACGCCCATTAGCGCAGCATTAGCGCCACATCAGCCAGGTTCCGGTCGGCACGGCCCGTGTACGGGTGGGGCGGGTTGGTACGGACCGTACCCAGGGTCGGTGCGGGTGCTTACGGGTCGTTCCAGGTCGTTACAGGCAGTTTGTAGGTGGATACGGGCTGTGTTCAAGCAGTGGACTAATGTTGAACTTTGGTTACTCTACTAACGTTACTCAACTCATACCGACCCGGGGATGTTTTCACACGGGCCCAGCTCCCACCGCCCCCTCCCAAGTTCTATCCCTAACCCACCGAGCCGGGCCGACAGCTGCGATCGGTACCGTATTCCAGGGATGCCTCACCAGCCCGTCACCACACTCTAATTAACTGAGTGAGCAGCACGGCGCTGCCGACTGGACCGACCCGTCCCCGGCTCACTTCCGACCCCCGCCATTACCCGACGGCTCCCCCTTTCGTGTCATCATTATTGGATTTTATCGTTCGTCTTTAATGCAAAAATATAATAGCTTCTCGTTAAAATCGTGGTCTCCGTCGTAAATAGCTGATATATGAGTCACAATTATCGTAACGCATACACCTTACAATAGGAATCCGAAGGGCATTCTTTCAATGATTCTAGTTATAGCAGTGTCGGGATGGAATCGGTAATGGGCTCCGAAGAGTTATGTGAGGAGTGGTCTGGCATTTAAACGCGATGGAAGCGGCTGAAACAAACAGATTTCCAGGATGGAAGTCGGCGGCGGCGGCGGCGGCCGTCCGTCTCTCGGCAGGTCGTTATTGCAGCCGGGCCGGGCCGGCGAGCAATTACACCTACTCCCAATTACCTAAGTCATGCATGTTTGAAGAGATGATTGGTTTATAGGTATCGCTGACAAACGGCGCGGCGGGGAGCACGCCGCACTGGTGCGCCGTTACCGCCGCCGCCGCGCCACCACCGCCGCCGTACCGCCGCGCCCTCCTGCACACCGCAGTGACGGCGCCGCCTGATAGGGGCGCCCGCCCGGCCCGAGCGTCTTGTGAGGCGGCGACAATAATGGCGCAAGCGTGACATAAACGGCGCACTCCTGCCGTCGGCAGATTAACTGTCCCGCTGGTAAACAGCCGGCGAGTTATTACAGCTCGGCCGGGCACGATTTAATGCGGCGGCGCGAGATGCGCCGAGCAGGCGGGACGACAGGGGAAGCTCTTGCTCTGGGGCGGGCGGGACGACAGGGGAAGCTCTTGCTCTGGGCCGGGAAGAGAGGCTCCCGGTCTGGGCGGGCGGGCCGGAAGGGGAAGCTCTTGGTCTGGCCGGGCAGGTCGGCAGGGGAAGCTCTTGCTCTAAGGCGGGCGGGCCGACAAGGCAGCTCGGAACCAGCTGAGCCAGGCAGGACCAGCTGGCCCCAGCACAACACCACTCTGTTCCGACGCGGGCCGGCGCCCCCACTGACGGACTGGCCGCCGTAATTTGCTAGGTGCGAGTGAGCGATTATGGGGCGTGGAATTCAATTAGTTCGTGAAGTATACCGGCGTGGAAAAATCACCTAATTGGAACTTGTTTGACGACTTTGAGCTTGTCATGCACAACTGTTTTAAGCCAAACAAGGTAAAAATGTTCCATCTGAGCTGTCTCGATGCTTCTCTCCCGTAACGTGTTCGCCTGGGAGCGGTTCCAGTCATGTGAGATGGTGTGCCGCGCAATGATCCATCCACCAGCCGGAATCCATAAATATCGATAACCACAGTGCGGTCGGAGCGGCCGCAGTAAATCTCCGCCGGCGCACGGTGGAGTAATAGCCGCCACGCACCAGACACCGCCTCCACTGCACACTGCAGGACACCGCATCAAAGTCCACCGTGCACCGGATACCGCCTCAGTCTTCCAGCCCCGACTTCTCCATCGCATCGCCGTCTCTTATCTAACCCGCTTCAGATGCCGGACAACGTCCGGTTCTTTTGAACCGAACTGCCGTCTTCTTTCCGCTCTCCATTTTCCGGTGTGGTGCAGGGCATACCCGTTCCGGTCTATGGGCTGTAACTGAGCTGGGGCATACCCATTCCGGTCTATGGACTGTAACTGAGCTGCTGTTTTTGGTGTGTTTCAGGCCCGGACGGCCGCCGAAGCGGGCTCCCGGGTTCGCCATGACACCGTCTCCGGACGCTCTAATGAAGCTGAAGCACGCCCGAATGGAGAACGGCGGAGACTACTTCGAGAACGGCCACATCAGAGGTGAGCTGGGTCACCTGGCTGGGTACGAGGAGCATCAACCATGCACTCTGTCATCTATGTGAGACACAAACTTTGGAATACGAGAGATACCGAATATAATTTATCCGATAATCAACTCTAAAGTGTGCTGGCAAATGCAGACTGGTATAGTTATCAATCATGAGAGAAGCACCAATCAAAATGGCATCTAGCATTATGGCAAAATACCGCCTATGTCATTTCTCCATCACACAGTGATAATTTTCCGTAGTTGATAACAGAAGTGAAATGGCGGTCGCCGGCTGACTCCGGGGCCCGCCGGTCCGGATCACTTATCATGGCATAATTTTGGCAGTTGTGCGGCCGGCCGGCGGCGGTCGATCGACCCCGCGATAACGACCTGAATGAAGAACTTTAACAGCTCGGCTGGTGATTCTATTACTGACAATTGCCCCGCCTAGAAAGAATGAATATCCGGACTCAAATCTATGCGGCCAGACGACCACACTTAGGAGCCATTATTGAGAATTGCAATGGCATCGAGAGGTCATTTTCGGATGCTTAAAGACCAATTCAACCCACTTTGACCCGGGGAAAAATAGCCGTGCATTTGTCGCTAAATTGTCGCGGCGAAAAGGCTGCGTTTCGATTACGGTGCGGCGGGTTCGATGAGGCGTCGTCGGCGACTGCTGGCGGTGCTTCCTGTCGCCGCGGTCACGGCGGCGTCGGCCGAGCTCGGGCCGCGTTCATTTCCGGGAACGGCCGGGCCGCTCTGCTGCCATTGTGCCGGCCCGATCCGGCCGCACATTCGGCCGGCGCATAACGACGTGCCTTACCGCCTTTAATATGGCCCAAATCTAATAAAAATCGGAATAGAGTTAAACCTCCATACGTTCCGAGTAATAAAAACGAAGACCCAGTGCTAAATGAGATCGAGCCGGATTAAAAGTGCCACCGCGCTGAAAGCCGGCGGCGAGGGGTGAGATTTTCATCTGGCCAGCAGCGCCGCCAGGAATTTTTACGTCTCCGTCGGACGCGACGCTGAGTGAGATAGAAAGAGCGGGTGGGCGCGGGCAGAGTTCAGTAGGAGTCAGAGGCAGTCAGGGTTCGAGCAGGGGACATTGGCACGAATGAAGAGTATGAGTACGTGACGACGTTTACTAGACGGATAGGGACGTGACATATGGGAAAGAGCAGAAGGGGATTGTCGGAGGATAAGGTTAAAAGGAATGTTGAGGGGCGGAAAGAGAGAGAGAGAGAGAGAGAGAGAGAGAGAGAGAGAGAGAGAGAGAGAGGAGAGAGAGAGAGAGAGAGAGAGAGAGAGAGAGAGAGAGAGAGAGAGAGAGAGAGAGAGAGAGAGAGAGAGAGAGAGAGAGAGAGAGAGAGAGAGAGAGAAAACAAGGACAAAACAGTGATAGAGACTCCTGCAATTATCAACCATCGGCTACATAAACCGTCAGACCTCCCACTCCAGACTCTCTATCCTCTCTCCCGCCATCATCCGGCCCATGACCCGATGCTCTCCCCGCGCCAGAGGTCGTCCCTGATGGGCGCTGCCGCTACTCCCAGTGACACGGAATACCCCTGGACAGTATATACCGCGCCGCCAGCAATCTCCCCACTTCGTTTCCGTATTTCGCCGCCAAAGAATTCAATCAGTGTTTAGATTTTACTGCTCACATCTGCTTGCCTTTTTACGAGATGCCTTTCCGTCTTGAAGCAAACTTAGGGGAATTAATAGAACAATCAAGTCCGTTTATGTTTTTCGTCCAGGGGCGTATGCAATGACACATCTTTATTGAGGCGAGCGCCGTAAAATCTGATTGAATTGCGCTGCAGCGCGGTCTTGGTGGCATTTCCCATTGTGTTTAATCTGGCTCCGGGCGGGAGATGTGACTAAGGGGCCGCTGCGAGTCGAATTCTGACCCCCTCCCCAGCCGGACTCTGCTAGCCCGCGCCCTGGTGGGGTCTGTTTATAACGCGACCTGGTGGGGGGCTATTTTTTGCCCCCCCCTCATATCTCCGAAACTACTGGACGGATCCGCAAAATTCAAACGGCGTTCGAAAGGCCTGTCAAATTTGTCGACAGAAACCAAATTTCATTGACCTCGGGGTCACCGATGACGTCACAGGTCAGGTCAAAGATGAAATGTTTCACCGTTCACGGGTCTTCTAGGGAATGCGCTATAACACCGAGGAAAACGCATTTTGTCGAGAATCAGCGATAGGGCGTCAGTTGCCTAGTAGATATGTTGCTATTAGAGGTCACTGACAATACCAGGTCAGGTCACAGGTCAGGTCACCAAGGGTCACGGGTCAGGTCACATGAGCCCAACTTTACTAAGGTTGTGTGATGCATGTTTTATGGCCAATTTTTCATTTCCAACTCAATGGTGTTGGTTATTAGACTATCAGGTACGGCTTAGGTCACTTTCTGGTGAAGTGGAGGTCAAGGTCAGGTCAAGGTCAGGCCAAAAAAGGTCAAATTTTAAAGTTGATAGTTTTGCATAAAATGGATATTGATTCGATGCAGCTCGTCACGGGGAGTCTAATGGTGGTCTTTGTTTTGCGCTACGGGGTCTAGAATTGCTAAAAATTGAGTTTGAAAATTTGACGTCATCAATTTTGAACAGTTTTTTTCGCTATAACTTCGCCAAAAAAAGAGGTATCAATCTCAAATTTGGTATGTGGATGGAAGGCGGTAAGGACTATCACATATATTCCGGTTTTTGCGAAATTCAAAAAACTTTTTGGATTTTCCGATTATTATATCCAAAAAAAAATATTTTTTTTTGATTTTTGGGGGTCAAAATCCAAAAATTTCAGAAATCCGAGATAGCAGTTTTGTATCCCTGTTCATTCTACAGCTTTTATGTCTTTATCATTTTTCTCTATTTGCAAAGCTATAGGCCGGACAGCTCTTCCCGCGAAACCCTTTTTTGGGTCGAAAACGGCAGAACATGACGTCACTCTGACGTCATTTCCGGCCAACCTATCATAGCCTTTGGAAAAATTTTTGGTCACAATGTGTAAAATTGATGTCCGGGAGGGTACTGAAAGTTTGGTGACGATCGGCGCAGCGGTTCTGGAGATATATCGAAAAGTCTGGAGAGGGGGCAAAAAATAGCCCCCCCCACCAGGTCGCGGGCTAGGAGGCGGCTGGGACTGGACTGGACTGGACGGTACTGATGTTATCAGGTGAAGAAACATATCTGACATAAAAACTGACATGTATATCATAGTCGTTGATACTGTATTGTCTGTAAGCAGTAACTTTAAATGCGCATTTTGTATAGCGTCTGTTGCTTTCGGGAGTTTGGCACTTGGCAGCCTCCCGGCTCCCGATGAAAAAGAAATAACTCGAACTGAAGGGAGGGAATGCCGAAAAATTGCAAAGGATTTTGAAGATCGTAGCAGAATATCTTTGTAGACATAATTTACAAAATATCTGATAATAATACTAATAATATTAACAATAATAAATAAGTTGTGTTCATGTCACAGACCGCGGGTTCGCAATGCGTCCATTCGCGTCGTTCGCCCTTCCAGTTAGACACAAATCTCCCTATTTTCTGTGCAGCCGTTTCCATTCCCTGGCCGTTATGGTTGGCATGACGGGCACCCCAGCTCACCGTCCGTCCCCTTCAATAAAAATACACAATCTTTCAATCGCAGTCGGGTGTCTCGGTGGCCCGGAAATGGGCTCTCAGCGGGACTGCGGATTCTGTCACAAACCCTACACCGAAATACACTCGGATCTCCGAGAGACCAACTGGGTCAACAGGATACAATAGCGTCGTAAAAAGGAGAGATGAAATATTAAACAGCGAGTGATGTGTACCAGGATGCAAAGGAATAACACTTGCACTGACCTGGCTTCCTAGATAAATTTGTGATGAAGACGATTTATACATATTCATGGATAAGATTGCATCATTGGCCAATAATAGCAGCATAGCAAGTAGCAACGATGTGAAGCTTAGTGGGAAAATAGGAGTTGAAGGAGAGAGAGAGAGAGAGAGTGAGAGAGAGAGAGAGAGAGAGAGAGAGAGAGAGAGAGAGAGAGAGAGAGAGAGAGAGAAAGAGAGAGAGAGAGAGAGAGAGAGAGAGAGAGAGAGAGAGAGAGAGAGAGAGGAGCAGAAAAAGAAGAGATACAATGTGACATCAAGCTCCTGTATTCCAAAAACGTGTGGCTTGTGTGGACGATAATATGCCCGTTGTCAGTTCATCTCGCCGCTCCGTTGTGCTCTACCCCTGACGTTCGCCACTCTCCGTTCGCCCTCAGAGTTTCGTTCCCTCCATTCTCCCTCAGAGCACGGCGTCGACAAGTCTCCACTGCTGTCCAACGGCTACAACCCGCCGCCGCACCTGAACCCGCTGCACTACATGGCGCTGGGCCACCCGGCCGCCGCCGCCCAGGCCGCTCAGGCCGCACAGGCGGCCCAGGCAGCAGCCCTGTTCGGGCCGGCGGGTCTGCCGTCACTGCCCACCAGCCACGGCCTGACCCGACCCGAGCAGCCCGGCGGCATCATGAAGCACCAGGCCATGCCGCACGAGCTCATCAACAGGTGAGGGACGGACGGAGACGGAGTGCGTCTCACAGAGACAGAGACAGAGACAGAGAGACAGGGGCACTCACAGGGACAAAATAGAATAGAGAGACAGAGGCGGAGATTAGCCGGGACTCACAGGCACTAACCTCAAGGAATGTAGCGCTGTGTGCATTAAGTTCACACTCAACACGTTTCGAGTTTTGATGGAGACCTCGCGCCCGGCGTTACCAAATGCGCTACGTCTATTCTGCAGTATTTGTAAAAAGGTATTCATTGCTGTCAAAACGTACCGTCTGCACTCTTTTTTGAGTTATGGGTAGCCAATTGAAACGTTAAATGTACGAAGGTGTTTCAACGAATGGCTTTTTAGTCGAGAACGCGAGAGGCGTCGAGAAGCGCGCTTAACGATCTAGAACGGCTGTTTGGCGAATAAATGCTCACCCCATCCGTTACTGGAAAACTCATTTCTATGGGATAGTACATTCCATCATCCCCACAGGCTAAAAGCCGAGAATTTATCTGACTTAACTGGTCTTCGCGGAAGCTAAGCACGTGTGAGTGGCCGATTTCTTTCTCAATTAGAAGTAAGCATCTTCGCTCTCCAGCCAGTATAAATCTCCGTCTAGAAGCTCCAGCTGTTTACCTCATGAATAATTATGACACACACAATGAGAAAGGGAAATAATGGTTTCATAAATGTCATTTCTTATCTGGTGTTGCAATATTTCCGCTTTAAACACGAATTAAAATGCGGCGTGCCACACTCTTCTTTACTTAATTACCGTCGTGGACGCAGAAATTGTGGTACGCTTGTGGCATGAAAAATTACCGCTGGTCCCTCAGAGGTGACATACTCGAGCTCCGCAACCAAAAGAGACACATTAAATCAGATTTGAGACGCGTCTAATTCAGATTATTTAAGGATATTTGCATTTTAATTAAGGCGCTTCGACTGAAAGTTTTTCATCGCTCTAATTAACAGAGGCATTGAAGGAAAACAATTCACATTTCAGGCACCACTAAACAGCGCGGTTCCGGACAAACTGACAAACATTAGTCTGCCGGGTGGGGGAGGCGGGGAGTGGGGAGGGGGAGCGGGGGAGGCGGGGAGTGGCCTGCCAGCCGGCTCGGTGTCGTTACTCCAAAGCCGCCGCCGCCGCGACAATGGCCACAGGTCCTGTGACACGACACCCGTGTTAATTTATCATTGCGGATCGTTAGAATGGAATTAATTAAATTCGGCTACACTGCCTTGTGAAAGCTTGTCAGCCAAAGTTACATATGAACCTCTAAATTACTGTTAGTGCTCCTCTGAAATTTAATCTTAATTCATTCTAACTTTGAAACGTTCCGGGGAAGGTGCGTCCGGGAATTAGAGTCAATGTGGCTATGATGGAGCAATTAGAGCTGAAAGGTGCCGCCGTACAAACATGTGTGAGTGACGGCTGATACAGCTACCTACCTGGGCCGGCGCGCGGTCGCAGTCGGACAGACTCTCAGCTGCAATCGGATACAGTACGAAAGTCGGACTGGTGACCGACCTGAGTTGGATTTAACGAATAATGCTGAAGTTAATGCGTAGCTGATAAAGTAATGTTGCAACAACTGAATTCGAACCTGAATTAACATAATGCAATGGTTTATGGACTGATTTAATTACGTCATTCAGCCCTGTGACATTTCGTATGTGTGGGCCCGGCAGGTCGGCCGTCTGGGAGAACTGCAGAGCTGCCTATGAGGACGTGGTCAAACACCTGGAGAGGTGAGTACCCACCTATTCCCAACAGTTCAGTTCACCTCCTCAGCGTTCTGTTTCATCAGTTCCGTTTACCAGTTCGCCTTCCACTGTGGGCGTGGCGTGCTGATTGGCGCCGAGTCAAAACATATCACCCAAACTGTTTCATCATCTCACTGTGAATTTTCACACCAAGTTTCAAAGAGCAGAACAAATGCTACGTAAAGTGTTGATTCACCAACGTCAAACAAAGACATACACCCGTGCAGCGGACAGTGACGCTACGGTTAATTGCTTTTGTTCCCCTATTTTGCACGTGGGTGTAATGGTGTGGTCGATGCGCGCATTGAACGTCTTCCCTCAAAAGTCAATTACCTGGCTTTGGCCGTTTTGATCGTAAGCACACACCGGCCAGCGGGCAATTTGGTTCGATTACGTCCCGTTTCGTTCTGGCCTCCTACATCTCTCCAAACACAGGGCGCGCCGCTCAGCCGGCCCAGTGCAAACATTGCCAGGGAGCGTTTCACACGTAACCCGTCCAATATTTACGGATGATTTGGAGTGAAAATATTTGTAATGGGCCCGGGCGGCCGGCTAGCTGTGTGATCAACACCATCATCAAACATCGAGCGCCTGAGCTCGGTCATGGGTTATCGAGGCGGGCCGGCCGACGGCCGTACAATTACCGCCCGGAATGCTGCCATATCGTATCTGGCAGCCGGGCTCAATACCCGGTACGGCGGTGCATTACCGCGCGGCGCCATGAATGTCGTGCCGACAGAGTGCCTCGTGGGTCTCCGGTACGCCGAATACGCCGCTCTCGGCGCTCGCCGGGCCATCTCGGCGGTCGATGGACCCCCTCCCTCCCCCCCCCCCCCGGCCGGACAGTGGCGCGGCCGAGTGCGGCATTCCTGGCGCGGTCAGCGGCGGTCGCGGCGCGCCGTTTTTGCCGCGCCCGTTGAGCTGTAAATCATACGGCAGCCGCCCTTCTGCCGTTACGTCTTCGGCTTGGGTGCGATACCGGCAATTCATCACGGAATCGGGCGATTTTATCATGGTCGGCCGAGCGATCGGCCCTTTAAATTCCTGCAGCACGCCGCCGCCCAGCGCTCGGCTGTTTTTGCTCTGGTCACCAAATGACTGTAATTTCTTCATTCCGATCATTAGTTTACTAAGTGAAATCACAGTTTTAGAATGCCAAATGATAGGGCAGCGCGGGGATAACCACAGGTCTGCGAGGGCCCGCTTTCGAATGATGCGATTCGACTGTTGATCTGCGTTTATGAATGTCGGCGGGCCGTGTCGGTCGGAGATTCGGGCCGAATGTTTCGGATAGTTTCTCGTCCTAACGATCACGGCCGGGCCGCAGAAAAAGGGTCATTCCACGAACGCCCTAATTACTCCGTCCTGACTCCGACTCGGCAATGAGGCGTGAGATGAAAAATGGCACAATCGGCGCGATTTCCGATCAAAGACAGCGGCCTCGACCGCCACCTAATTGGATTTCTGACGTTTCCGCGCGTCGTCGTCATCGCTCAGCGCCGTTTCAGTAATTATTATTCGGCTTTTTGTTGGTTCTTTCAACTGCAGACGCGTCTGTGCCGTTTGGGGTGACGATGAATGATGTGACCGGGACTTTCTGCCGGTCAATACTGCTCAGAATCGAATCAGCAGACGGTGGACCCGGGCCAGCGGTCTGTAGTCCCGGGCTGACGGTCTGTGGTCCCGTTCTTTGGTCTTTGGTCCGTCGGCGATGACGTCAGCAGTGGGTGGACCCTGGCCGGGTGGTCCGCGCGCCTCCTCCTCCGGGACGAGCCCGGCCGCCCGGCTCCCACACGAACCGCGGGATCGTTTGGTTGGCGAGCGAATCAGTGCGCCGGGGCGGCCCACACACAGCAGAGACCACACAGCGGGTCACACAGCGGTCACAGAGGAGCGGCCACACAGCAGGTCAAACAGCGGGTCAAACAGCGGGTCACACAGCGGTCACAGAGGAGGTCACACAGAGGGGCACAGTGGAATGCACAGCGGGTCACACGGGGGGGGGGGGGCATACAGGAGGTCACACACGTAGCGGGGACACAGTGAATCACTCCCGACCACACAGTGGTCACACAGGTCACACAGGAGGTCACACAGTGAGCCACACAGTGAGTCACCCCAGGAGTCACGTGGAACACTGCACTTATTGTTGACAGAGTTCGTAGCGGCAGGTCTGCGCTTCTCATGCAGGTACGGGGGCGATATGTCGTGGGCGACAAGACTGAAAAGCGTGCCATTTGCATAGTAGGACAATTATTCTCGTGTTTCTCAAGCCGGAAGCATTGCTCCAGAAGATACTGCACATAATTTACGAGTCAAGTTAAACATGATGCTGAAAACGGCTCAGATTATGCCGAACTTTGCGCAGCTGTTGATCTTATATCTAGCCGAGCGCAACAACATTAAATAGCATGCAATATGCATTGAGTGCCGTCATACACTATGCAAGTGAAGAGATGCGGTAATCTACATCAAAAGCGGCGGACTGCTTTAGACCTCATCCACTCGTGCCGCCTCCTGGCTATCTCTGAGTCGGTTCGCCGCTCGGCGGGCCCTCGGTCGGCGCTATCCGGGTGTTCCTCGGCCCGAGCCGTCCGAGACAGACGGACACGCCGGAGCCACGCCGGCTGGATGTCACCGGCGCATTGGGAGCCAATTAGCCGTGTGATCAGCTGTTCCGCGGCGCTTCCGACGGAGAAGCGTGCGCTCTTCCGATGTGACACGCAGAGAGCGTGGGAAGGTTCGGCCGCCCCGCAGCCGCGCTGGGGAGCGTGCTGACAGCAGGGGACAGCCAGAGCGGGGCTTATGGAGCTGCACCGGCCAGCGCGAGCAGCAAACGTAGGTACTGGTGACAATGGCACTATAACGGCTGGCGAACGTCTTTCTTGACACACCGCGTACACCACTTCATAGATCATTGTCTTTTTACCGCATTCAGAGGCGAATAAATGCATCGGTTTGGACTCCCCTGCGGCGCATTCAGGCGCCTGTATTGTGAGTCTGAGCCGATTCCGCTGTAGTTTGGCCGATCTATATTCCCTCCGCATCCATACCTCTTCGATCATCGCGCTCCACGTCAAGGAGTTTGGGCCGAAGACGTGTTTCACGGCGTTATAAATGGCCTGTGGATGTTGCATTGTGTTTTATCATTGAATTTCAATTTGAATGCCGGTTTTATTAGGGTTTGATTCGTCATAGGAGGCCGTATTGAAGGCGAAAGATAAAATGGGAAGTGATTGATGATAGCGCCGGCTGAATTATTGCATTCTAGGCGGGCTGGGGATCCGACATTTGTAAAGAGCGTCAATAGTCGGTCGATGGGCGCGTCGAGAACGACGCAGCCGGTGCGGCGCTGATCCCAGCGTCGGCAGCGATGCAGCCGCGACGCAGGCGGGTGATGACACCGCATAATGCGTCTCTGTTCCACTACCGGACAAGCCCACGCACGCGGTATTTTTCCAGGGACATGTCGGCAGTGACGACATTCGGTAGTGGTGACGCGCTCAATTCTGCGGCGGAGACGTCTCCGTCGCGTTTAATTTCATATGCATGTACAGTCGTCCGCCAAAGAGGCGAACTTGGGTATCATACGAGCGGAGTTGGGTATTCCATTGAGTTCGCTGTTAGCTGGGTACAGAACAGTGGGCGGCGACTGGGGCCCTTTAGACAGGCGCCAACGGATGGGGTCATTGTCATCCGTCGGAAACGAGTCGCCGAGAAGAGCTGTCCGCATATACCACAGTGATGTTGTCATTTTCCCAATACTGTCCGGATTTACGGCGAAAAGTAAATGAAAAATTATCGGCAGAGCTGGTGGAAAGTTTCAGCTCTGGCAGTCATTCCCCACAACTTGGCCTGTTCTCACGGGGTTATTACCCCAGAGATTATTAATTAAAACATTTTTGTCACCGTATTTAATTACGTTTTCAAACTTCGATATTATCCTCTGGGAAGTTCCTTTTGTCTCTGACTAATAGCTCTGCTTAGGAGACGCTGTATAGTTTTCCGCTAATATTCCGTCCTTAATTGAACTAAATGGAAACATACCTTCCCTTTTGCCGGGAAGCATTAAAAGTTCTCTTGTTTAAGGATTGTAAATTGGCATCATCAGCATAAGACATGTCACGTTGTTGTCCCGAGGGAGAGGAGGCTGCCTTTTGTCTCTGCCAGACGCCGAAGCCCAGTTGAAAGGGTCGCTCCGCCAGCGGGGACAAATTGTGTCGGCTTCCCCGGCTTCCCGGTATACCGGCGCACTGACAAACGCAGTTGCGTCTAAATCATCAGCATATTAATGAAGTGGGCGAGGTGCGCTCGACACACCGGGGAGAGTGGACGCCCAGAGAGAGTGGACCGCGGCGCCCGGCGAACGGCGCCCCCCGCCCGGCGCCCCCGCAGCGGCCAGCCATGGCACCAATGGTGATCCATTACCGCACATTGAACAAATATAATCGAGACGCGAATAATCGCGATCCTCTCGTCTGCCGACCGCTTTGACGTCCCACAGCGCGCATGATTAGAAAGCAATTATATTTTATATGTCCCGGGAGTCATTAGCGGGCCGGGCGCTTTGTGTGTGCGCGGCATCGGAGATGGATCGGCCGGCGGCCCGATCTAATTACGACTCTCCGCACACCTGATGCGCCCACACTGGCGCGGCTGAGACACTCACTGGCGTTCCTGAGACACTCACGGAGTGGCACCCACACTGGCGCGGCAAAGACACTCAATCGCGCGCCTGAGACACCTAGGAGTGTCCCACACCATGGCGCATCCGATACCTACACACGCTGGCCTACTCCTGAAACAATCGAAAAGCACGCGTATTTCGGGCGTACATTTTAGAGCAAAACTTTATCTTTCATAGCGCAGCGCCGATCGCTAAACTGGTTGGTTGAGCCACTTTTCCATTTCTCCGTACCTGACATATCCACAGCCGGCTCTATCTTTCTCTCCCTCTCCCGCTCCCGGCGGGGGCGGGAGAGCCG